GCTTGGTGATTCTCGGTTTTGGGCCATACTTTGGACTTTTAATTATGTACCTTGTTGGGCCATTAGACTTCTGATTTTAGGTTTTTTCTAGTATTTTGGGCTCTTTTGATTTAGGCCCATGACGGGTTTTGGGCCAAATTTAGAAGATTGGGCCATATTGGCTTTGGGTTACCATTTAGGATTTGGGCGTTTTAAGTAATTGGGCTGGGCTTTGGTTTTGGGCCCTGTAATAAAAAGGGTGAAATGGTCTTTTACTCTGGTTATGGGTTAAGTAGCTTAGATTCTTTTTTATGGATCGAGATCCAATGATTAATTGGATATTATTTTGTTGATGTTAGCACAGGGACTTTCTGAACCAACAAACGAGATTCATTTGAGTGTTTCAACAGCTAGAGGTGAGTTTCCTCATTGTGATTAGCGGGTCGAATGCACCAATGTTGGCCCATGATTTGTTACATTTAGGATGTTAAATGTTTGCGTGACTCTTACATATGATATGTTTTTGCATGATTATCGGGCGGAGCCTGATGACTGTTTTGTATGCTACTTGTCTTTGTGATTATTGCATGTGTTATGTGTTTATATGCTTATATGTTTATATGTATATCGGGCGGCGCCCAATGATTAACATATTTGTATACTAAGCGGGGCTCGATGCTGTGACATCCCCAAAATCACGGCCAGAAAAGACCAGTTTAATTTATGATTTTAAAATAATTTCAGAGTAATCCTTTGATTAAAAGAGTTGTGGAATTTGTTCCCAAAACCAAATATGATAAAATAAGATTTACTAAAGCGTTTCTTAAAGAAATGTATTTTCATTATATAACAAAACCCGGGATGTCATGTTCCGATAAACAGACCAAAAGCATAAACATTACATTACAAACCTTACAACAATTATATAAAACAACAGGTCCATAATCCAAAAATAACTTGACAAGTCATCCAACTTATGTTCTAGCGTCACTACCTGTAATACAAAGAAAACTGAATGGGTCACGCTTGGGAGCCTGGTGAGCATATAGAGTTTTTAACCCACAATAAATAATTATTTTTAATTCCATCAACCAACAAAAACCCAATTACCCATTCCCGTTATCCTCACTTTACGTCCCTAAAACATCTAACACAAGGGACCTAGTCTAAGAATATTTCATTGGGGCAACAACACATGCATTCGGGGGTTTCCCAGCAATATATGTCAAATAAGGCAACCATGAGAGGGATGGAGTACAGCGAATGCACACCCAAGTTCATTGACACCTACAGGTGGCGAGCCTGCTAGCGTTCCACGGGACTCTCTAGAAAAGTCTGTGGTTGTCATCTAAACTCCGCTAGATGACTGAATCAAAACAACAACATCGAGGCCTCTCTTCATTTTAACACACATCAACTATCTACCCATGTTTTACCCAACACTTTTGTAGATAAAAATACATATACAGTTTAAAATTTGTATAAAACATTTATTTAACACTTATTTCAAATAAGCAAATAATGTATAAACACATAACACATATTTTATATAGAATACTTTGTATTAGTGTGTTAAAAGAAAAGGAATATACACTCACTTCAAATAAACAACAATATATATACACATAACACGTATTTCAAAGCAAATACTTCATATTTATGTGTTAGAAGAAAGTAATCACACACTCACTTGATCAGAAGATGATCGAACAGTGCTACGACTTGTAGGAGTAGTATTCTTCGGTGAATCCGGGATATCTTCACACACCGAACTTCTTACGGGCAAAGCTTCGGCTCGGAAACTCTTTTCTTCGCGGGATCTTCGGTGCTTCGAGACTCGCTTCGGGTCTCGGGATGATACCGGGCTTCGGGGGTTTTTATAAGGCTTAGAGAGGGTATTAGGAGTGGGAGAGTAAGAGATGAGCAACCTAAATCGGCTGACCCTTGATTTCTATTTATAGGGTGATTTTTTACGGGTTCACCTCGTGAGCTTGATACGTCATTGCGTTCATCATAGCCACTTGCCCTGGAAGACGTCCATCATCTGTTCACCTCGTGAGCTACATATGCTCACTTCGTGAGCTTGATACAGCCTTGTGGTTCACGCCCCGAACTTCAGAAATTCATAACTTTCGCATACAAGCTCCGTTTTCAACGTTCTTTATATCCACGTGTAGGTGAGATTATGCTCTACAACTCTCATTTAGACTTCGTTGGCTAATTTTAACTTGATTTTTAATATATTATAAATATATTATTTTTAGTAGGCCGGGACAGAAAAACTTTGTTATAAATTCATAACTTCTTCATCCGACGTCCGTTTCATCTGTCTTTTCACCGTTGCACTACTATTAACAAAATCTTCGATTCTCGTTTAGATTGTTTCAGCTAAAAATCACTCGATCTCATTTTCGAGTTTCGAGTTGCATACTACTAAGTCGAAACTTCGGAAAATCATAACTTCCTCATATAAAGTCAGATTTGGGTGTTCTTTTTATGCACGCTATCGGTTTAACGAACTCTACGACTTTTGTTTAGATCACTAAGGCTAAATATCGCTCCATCGTAAATTCGTATTTTACGTCATTCAGCGTCGTGTCGGTTATGTGACGAAACTTCGACACGTCATAACTTCTTCGTTATAACTCGGATGTCGGCGTTCTTTATATCTCCGGAATCCTTATTTCAACCACTACAACTTAATGTGAAGATATCGGACTTATCTCACACTTTAATTTTGAGGCTTATTTTATTCTTAATTCATTAATTTATAATAATTAAGAAAATAAACACATAAATCACATAATAATTAATCAAATATTTCATCACTAATACTTCAAAAAGAGTTACAAAGGTTAACCTAGACTATTACATCAACAATAATTCCTAGCCTGGAAACGTGAGCGTTACAGATGCCGGGTGGGGCCCATTACATGTTTATTATGTATGGTATGTGGTATTCTGGGGAACTCACTAAAATTTGTGCTTACGGTTTTCAGTTTATGTTTTCAGGCACTTCTGGTTCGAAGGGGAAGAGCTCGAGATGATTGCAGTGCACACACCACTTTGCTCCGCATTTTATATTACTCTAATGTTTTATGATATTTGTTGATACACTTTTTTTCACCATGATTTTTATGATGATGTTTTGAATAATAATTTTATTAATTTAAAAACGAAAATTTTTAATCTTAATTTTTGGAACGTTACACATATAAGGAAATGATTTAGATTGTGATTAAATCCATTCAAATCTTGGTTTGTCACTAAGTTACCTAAACTATAAATAGGACCCCTTTGGGCTAGGATTTTCATGGTTATTCTTTCTTAGAAGTATATGAACAAAATTTCCTTCTCCTCATCTCTCCTCAATTATTTTCTAGTTCTAAGGTTTGGGTGTCAGACATTAAAGTTAATAATACTGTATTATCAAAATTTTGAAAGGATATAGAAATTTAGTAGAAATTTAAAGGTCATGTTAGTTTCATAAGCATATAAGCATGGTTATGAAATATTATTATTATAAACATGTTTGTCCTCAAAAGGCAAGTTGGCAAATATTTAGCCCGGAAATTTTGAGGTGTTCCAAGTTGGTATCGACATGTAGGTTTATGTGTATATGTTCTTGACTAATACATAAGGTTATTATTCCGTGACCGTTTTCGTATGACAATCGGACTTAACTAATACATAAGTACCACCATAATTTCGCCATATGATTGTAAGTATAAGAATGAGATTTATTTCCTACTTATTTGGACAATGTCTACGATAATTTCACCATAGGATTGTAAGTATTAAGTATGAGACTTATATCCTCCTTATCTGGACTATGTCATGAAGCCGGGAATATTGAGACCGAGTCCAAGGCAAGTTGTGGTAGAAAATGAATGCTTGGGGATTATTTGTGTATTGCTTTTCCTATATACATGATATAATATTGTTTATTTTGATATTATCTATAATAAAATGATTTTTTTTTTTAAATGTCGCTAGTTTGTCGGGTTTTGTAATTTGTTAACTTTGTATTCTTTTATTTTTTCTGAATAGAGTTTGTTGAAACTGTGTCTTTAAAAAAAATGGTTTTTTTGAAGTGATTTAAAGAGAAATTTATAACCAATACTTGACTTATCGATATCATTGATAGATGAAAATGTAAGAAAATCATGAAGGTCCAATTGTGAATCAAACCTCTCCGAATGCCAAATCCGAACGGAAATCAATAAGGAAATGAGTAAATTACTGAAATTGTCCTTATGGTTTGATTAAAATTGCACGTTTGGTCTCTAACTTTTCTTTTGCATTCGGACTGTCCCTGTTGTTTGATTTTGTTGCATTTTTCGCCTCTGTGGTTTGATTTTGTTGCGTTTTCCGCCTCTTACATACATAAAGTTAAGGACCAAACATGCAATTTTGATCAAACCATAGGAATGAAAAATACAACAAAATCAAACCACATGAACGATCAGAGTGCAAAATAAAAATTAAGGACCAAATATGCAATTTTAACCAAACCACAAGAACAATTTCAGTAAATTAATGAGCTTTTATCCACACGATTTAGAGGAAAATTTAGGAACCGAATTTCCTTGGGCATAAGTAGAAATTTTTGAAAAAAGTTTGATAAGAAACATTAATTTGTAGATGCAGTCCGAATCCGATTACTTATCATTATGGCTTATGACTCTCGTTTGATGGGTTTGGCATGTGTGGACATGTGAGTAATTTCAAACTCCAACAAAGACACAACATGTGAAAGAATGTGGAAGTAGATTTTTGCAATTCATTGACTTATCATGAAGAATATTCATCAGTTTTATTAATATTACCATAAAGTCAAACACAATTCCCTTAGAGAAATCATCCCTATGATTTGGTCAAAATTTCACGTTTGTTCCCTAACTTTTCTTTTGCATTCGGATCGTCCCTGTAGTTTGATTTTTTTGCGTTTTTCATCCCTTATATACATAAAATTAGGAACCAAACATGCAATTTTAACCAAACTATAGGGATGAAAATCACAACGAAATCAAACCATAGGAGGCTAGGAGCAATCCGAGTGCAAAAAAAATAAGTTAGGGACCAAACGTAAAATTTTAACCAAACCATAGGGACGATTTTAGTAATTTACTCTTTCCCTTACAAAGTTTAAAGTTATTCAGGTTATACCTTGAGCAATGTTTTGAGTCATAACCTATGTCTAAAAGATTTGGAACTCCAACAAAAATAAAAACATAACACCTAGTTAATGCAAATTAATTAATCCGTAATCAACTCTTTCACATATATGAAAACATAAGACTACAAAGCCTCTCAAACTATCTCCTTGAAGACATTTAACAAAAAAACTGAGTCTAAAACAAAGGTTACATCAAAACCTCACACATCATCAACGCTTCTTCTTGCTTCCCTTTGCAGCACCTGCCTTTGATGGAGTTGCCACCAGGTACACAAATAGCACCACTATGGAAATCACCGACACTAATGACCCGTATTTCGCCAATAACCTCTGCAAATACATAATTCAGGGTTAAAAACGACATTTTCACATTTGCCCAAATTTCTAAAACCAGATAAAAAGAGTATTCCATACCTTAGCCTAAAAGAGTAGAATCCATCAAAGCACACATTCATGCAGAAGAACACATACACATCAATGCATTATTATTATTTCAATTCTGAATCATTTTATAAATTTGTTTTAAAGAGTAAAAGACTTACAAGATCGAATGTGTTCTCACGTGGCTTATCTGATAGGATTTCAAGAGGAAGAAGTGGGGTGGAATATGCCTCCTGCATCAGTAAAAAAGATTGTAAGACTTTAAATTATAAATAATAATAAAATTAAAATTACTTGAGAATAGATATATCCATGAATCTAACCTGTAGTGCAGCTTTTGTGGGGACACGGAATGTAATAACAGCAGGAGTGCTGTAAAAGACAGATTTCACTGTTGACTCTAACTCAAAAGAGTGTGATACAACAGCACCACTGACAACATAACAAGTAATCATTGTGAGAATTAATTCAAGAAAAGAAAACATCGATTCAAGAATATGATGATATGATACATACACATCGAGTCTTTCCCATGAAGTTGAAGTGTTCCCTGAGACGATGCTGAATATCTCAGAAGACCAGCCATCATCGCTGAGGCTAACATCATAACCCGCTCTGGATGGAAAAGATGGTGAAAGTATGAGGCTATGTAAGAAATAATTTGATATATTTGTCAAAACTTTATATAAACAAACAATGAAATGATAGTGCTTCATGGTAATATGCCTAAAATCATAGTTAGCTAGCTATATGTACTTTTACTCATTGGTAACATTATTGAATTACAGTGAAATTTAGGTCAAATATCTTCTCAATGATCATATTGCAATTTGCAAGTTGCAATTGCAACACTATTTCTGCATAGATTCTAAGAGGAAATAAACAACGCGATCACCATAGTTCAAAATATATCTTTGGCAAAAACAAGAGAAAACTATTGACTTGTCATTAAATTAACAATTTTTTTCTACCTGGAACAAAATTTTGCATAAAGGTAGCTTAATTAACATCTCTTGCTAGAAATTTAAAAGGCTTAATTCGTCATTCATAGCTAAAGAATATATCTGTCTAATCAATCTCAGATTGTAACAAAAACACCGGATCCGTAAGTAATTAGATGGCCTGAGCATAGCAACTCCATCGATCTATTCAGATCGATAGTATAAGAAAGTAACCGAAGGCGTAAAACATGGATCGGAATGTGCAGATGGCAAATCGAATTTGTGGAGCAAAAGCATGTAGAGATAGATGTAAAGTAAATAAGAGAGAAAAAAAAAAAAAGGTGGAAACTACATACGCAGATCCTTGGTTGTATATGTCGATGGAAACGTAGACTTTTTCGGCGCCGGATTTGAGTCTGTTGAGTGTAGCTTTCTTGTGAGCGACGATGAAAGGAGAATCGGAGCCAGCAATTGCCGATGATGAGGCTATGAAGAAGACTAATACTAAAGAGAGGAGAGAATTCATCATCGTGATCTTCGCCATTTCTCGGTTTGAGGTGAAGGTTGAGATTTTGTCTGATCTTAAAACTATTTCAATATATATTTATTTTCTGAGATCCAGTTAGGAATCAGGATGATCGCAATTGTGTAATTGGAGATCAAATTCAAAGAGTAGGGTTTCAGTCTCGGAAATCAGATTCGACCCACTCACTTGGTTTGGTAGGTGTTTAAGCCCATGAAAGCCCGCTCAACCCAAAGCTTTTGTATCCAGCAAAGTATTTGATTCGGATTTTTCAATATCCGGTCAGATAATAAGTAAACTGGATATATCCTACCCGATGGATATCAACTGGATCCACCAAAAATATCCAATAAATCGGATATGGTCGTTGGTCACGGAAAACTGTATTTTGTAAAAAAAAAAAATTAAATATTTTCATATTAGATACTCATAAACAAAACAATGGCACGTGGAATCCATTATTTTTTTTTAATCATCACTCTTGATTTACACATTTGTATTGATCTATGATATAAATATTGATAAAAACAAAAGATAGGAATATATTTCCGAAAAGGCATATAGCCGTTTGAATCCTTAAATGGATCATTTGCTACTCTATAGTTGGTATAAATAGGTGTATATTGGTTTCAATATGCTCAAAAAGCACTTAATATTCTCGAAGTATTTTTTTTTTTAACCATTGACTTCCTTCTTCAATTTTAAAAAACTGGAAATGACATCCTTACAAATTCTATATGAATACGGATGTAACATCAAAAAATTTATATGAATACTAATGTGGTGGAAATAAGACTAACTTACCAAAACCTATATATTCGGTGTAATTCTGATTATTGCATTCTGAACCACAAAGCAAAAACAAACTTGATGCAAAAAATGTGGGATTTCTATCATGCATAACTAATACCGATGAGTGTTTGCCAAGTGGTGAAACGACGTAATTTCAATCATGCATAACTAATATCGGATCTTGGTTTGTTTTTCAACACGACAAGATACGAATAACGTTTGCAAAGTTGTCATCCAATAAGATCTTCGATTATTTCAACAACTCATGTCTTACAAAAATTATTTGAGTGAGACTTCAATCATGTTATAATCCAGTAAACCGCATGAGATGTAATAAAACTTTAGATCGAAACAAACAATTAAATAATTTTAGGATTTGAGCATTATAATTATGTTTTTTATTTGACATGTAAAATTTCGACCGCTTGGCATGAAAATGTGAAGTCCTACCTAGCTGTTATGGCGTATTGGTTCCATCCGCAAACATGGCAATGGTGAAATGAACAACTTCGTTTATATTGTTTGGTTATCCGCATAGCAGTTAAATTAGATTTTTTATTTTTTTAACTTCATTTAATAACTCTTTAAATAATAATATCACCATTCGTAACACTTAAATCCTGGTATGTATTTAAAACCCTAATTTATTCTTTTTTCATACAGCAACTCGATGAGTTGGTAGCCCCAAACTCGTCGAGTAAAGATTGCTTAGGCCACGGGTTTTAAGAAACCTACTCGACGAGTAGGCTGGCAGATGTGAAACCCAAATCTCGGGGTTTTACACCCTGTATATACATCTTAAACTCTAGGGTTTCCAGCCTCCATTGTCTAAACCCAGAGTCCAAAAACCCTAATGCTATTGTGAGTGTGTGGGAGTCAATTAAAGTGTTTTAGTGTGTGTTTTGAAGCCATTGGAAGAAGGAAGAGCTTGAGGGCACAAGAAGAAGTTTGTAGATCCAGAATCCTAGCTTCATCCTCGACTTTTTGCTGGTATCAAGTCTGAACCTTTCCTTGTAGTTGTTTAGATATTCTTTTGGGGCTATTTTGATTGGTTTTGATCCAAGTTTCATGGTCCTTGGGAGTTGGACGTCCCAAATAAGTTTATACTTCGGATCTGAGTTCTAGAAGGGTTTCCATGGCATAAAGGTTCCAAATCTATGGTCATGGAAGTCCCATGCAACCCCTAGACCATCATATTGGCCTTTTGGAGCTTCTAATGGCCATGCATGTAGAGATAGTTGGGACTTTACATGCCCATGTAGTCCCTAAAGTCCAGATCTATGATCGCATGGTCTATTGTGTAGTTTTGGTTGTCCTTGGATCAAGACTTTGGCCTTTTTAGGGTTAGGTTTGAGCTCAACCTCTTTAAGAAGAGTATTAGCAGGTAAAGGTGGAAACTTTACCCTCCTAGGGTCATTTCCAGTTTAGATCTGGAGTATAGGGTGTGGATTTGAAGAATAAGGGTTTAATACATTAAGAAGGGTTAACAGACTAAAGAACTCGACGAGTTCATAGAGGAACTCGACGAGTTGGTTCAAAATATCCCAATTCTATGATAGGGAAGACCTCGACGAGTTGGAACGCGAAATCACAATTATGTGATGTATAGTAACTCGTCGAGTTGAAGAGTAACTCGACGAGTTGAGTCAACGTGGGGCGTTGACTTTGACCTTAGCGTTGACTTTGACTTTGACTTGGACTTTGACTAAGGTTGAAATTTAAAGGGAACCGAGTATGGAATGGTGATTATCTTGGATTAGGTGTCTAAGCCCATAACTATAATTGGTATATACTTGACCCGAGAGTAGCATGGTCCATTTCGGGTTACATATCACCAGGGCAATTTGATAGGATGGATATTTGAGAAAGAGGTTAATATGATTTATTGATATATTATAAGTATAATATATTAATTAAGGGATCATACTATTTAATTAGTATTGATCAAGAACTAATTTAGTAATCAAAAGAGACTAATTAAATATATAGGGGCTGATTGTGTAAATCAATGATATATATATATATATATATATATATATATATATATATATATATATATATATATATATAGGTTGGGCTAATAATCCATGACTGATTAGTGATGGGATAAGCTTATGTGAGAATCCATAAAGTGTTAGTCTATTACAAGCCCAAGTGTAAGAATTAGTGTAACGACCCAAAATTTAAGACCAAAAATTTCTTTAATAAATCATTACTTAAAGTAAAGTCATCATTCCAAAACATAATATGAGTATAAGTTTTCAAAACACATGTTCGTTATCAGAGTAAACATTCTCAGGCTGTCTAATCTATGGTGTGTGCATGCGATCACCCCGAGCTCTTTCCTCCGCTACCGGAAGTACCTGAAACCAAAACTGAAAACCGTAAGCACGAAGCTTAGTGAGTTCCCCACCCTACCACATACCATGCATAACCACATACTGCACATACTGGGCCACGCCCCCTATCTTGGGCCTCGCCCCCTACCTCGGGCCTCGCCCGCTACAACGGCCCCGCCGCTCCAGGCCCCGCCTGGCTTCGAGCCCCGCTCGAATACAGATCTGTTTTACTTAGGCCTCGCCTGTCACAGGGCCTCGCCCGTCAACAAATAATAACACATACACATTTCACAACACATAACTGACACATGCAACTAGTTCTGTCCTAAGGCCTCGCTTATCCTGGGCCTCGCCCATGTCCTGCTACTGATGAGTCATGGAACCCCGTCCATGCTCCTAATGGTAGTCAGGTACGGGCCTAGCCCACTCTCACTCCTGTTCTAGTTCGGGCCTCGCCCCTAATCTGCTACTAGTGAGATATGGAACCCCATTCACACTCTGCTATTGGTGAGATACGGGACCTCGCCCACACTCACCTCCCTACCAGGCACATACATGTATCACACAGACAACAAGTATAAACTATCATATATAAACAATTCCTTGGGCACCCGCCCGCTATTACTGGACCTCATCCTGCAATCAATACTAGCATATTGTGCCTAGGGCTAACCCCCGGGTCTTCTACTCATAACTACATGGGCTGGCATTGTGGCCTTAGACCCATTCACACAAAGGGGAAACTCACCTGCACTGGCTGAACTTGCTGATGCTTGCACTAGTTGCTGCCTGACAACTCACGGAACTCCTGCTCCTCTTGCCCCCCGAACTACCAATATCAATGCAACACTGAGTCTAACTGACCCCCGAAAGACAACCAAGTCCACCCTGGTCCAAAGTCAAAGTCCTGGTCAAAGTCAACCTTCCAGGTCAACCCTACTCGCCGAGTCACCCTACTGACTCGTCGAGTTCAAAATGATCAGATTCCTTTCATTCCTGACTCGACTCACCGAGTCAGTCCATGACTCGCTGAGTCTACCGATTTCTGAGTCCAGACCTGTCCAACTCACTGAACCTCCACCCGAATCACTGATTCGAGTCACAACTCGAAGGGTTTGGGGTTTCGCGACCTGACTCGTCGAGTACAAGAACAGACTCGCCGAGTACAAGGCAATCTTCATACGACTCGACGAGTCGTTCATCTCACTCGTCGAGTTTCTCCACAACTTCATGCTACTCGCCGAGTCCACTTAAAGGACTCGCCGAGTCCCTTCAGATCTCCTTACATGCAGAGGATTTTAGAGTCATGCATGGACTCCAAACTGTAGATCTACCCTTCCCAAGCCTATTCCACATGTAAAGTTGCAAACTTTACGTGTAGAGAAGGAGATCTAGGCAAAATATGCCATAAACTAGGGTGTAAGGCAAAAGAGCCCCAACAACCACACATAGATCTAGGTGCAAAAAGGGTCCAGGAACTAGTTTATTACCTCCAAGTGCTCAGAATGAACTCACAATCCCATATCTATAGCTCCTTCTTGCTCCTCCAAGTTCCTTCTTCCTTATCCAAGCTTTAATGCACCTTCCAAGGCTCAACTAGGAGATGTGACGGCTAGGGTTTGATATCCAGGGCTAAAGAGGCAGTAAGGAACCCTAGGAAGAAGATTAAGACATTTATATAGGCTCCAAGTCCCGAATTTAGGGTATTCCACGCACAGAACAGACTCGCCGAGTCACCTTGACCGGCTCGCCGAGTCGGTCACTTACGCCTCGACCCGGATCCCGCTCAGACTCGCCGAGTCCCTCCTTGGACTCACCGAGTCGGCCCTTAAATTAGGGCTTTTCTTTCCTTTCTTGGCCTTTGAAACTTTGGGTGTTACAACTCTCCCCCACTTAAACTAAACTTCGTCCTCGAAGTTTACTATACTCTACTGTCGGCGATCAACCTCCAAAGCCCCACCATCCATTCTAGCACCAGCTGCCTAACTTTGTTGGTCTTCCGTTCAGTCATTCAGACCAACGCCAATCCTTACGGATAATAACTTCGGATGCATCCAGACCCTGAACATCTTGGAAACACAACTTACTCAACCGACAATCTTTCTGGTAATATCCGAGTACTGCAACATAGGGGTCCACCCCTTCTTTCCTTGCGCGATTTCCCTGTCTCCCCAAGGCAACGCTCCATAACCATCTATCCCTTCTGCTGCTATGAAGA